TAATTATAATTACAATAGATAAAATCATTAGGCAGTGTTCATTAGCATTTTTTAATATGATGTTTACATTTTTATTATAATTTTTATTATATTTATTATCATAATAGAATACATCTTAAATTTAGATTTATACTTACTTGTGGTCGAATAGAATGTTGAAGAACACAAAGTGCTCCATTTTTACCATAACCAGAAGTCGTAACAAGTTCAACATCAGGATCTTGATTATGTGAAAATTCTTCTGATAAAAAAGCTGGTTCACCCATTGATATATTTCCACAAGGACCAATATTTAATAAACTATCACATACCTATAAAATTTATGTATTAATATTATAATAAATATTTTGTTTTTTTAAATTATTTATTATAAATTATTTATTATAAAAAATAGAAATATACCTCAAATATATATGATGTAATCTGAATAGAAGTATGTGTTTCACTTCCATATACTTCTAATTCTTCTGGATCTTTTATATCTAATACATCAGATGCCATCCAATCTCCTATAAAATCTTGTTTTATTTTTTTTGCTGGAGTTTCTTCAGTTTCATTTTCTTCAAGTATTATTTCATTCTCATTTGTATTTTGTAAATTTTCTGGCTCTTTTTCAGTAAATCTTAATAATAAGGAATTACCAAGTCGTGATCCCAAAAACAAATAATTATCTTCACACATGCACACCTACAAATTTTTGTATTATTCTATATAATAAAAAATGTTTCATTTATAAATAAATTAAATTATTACACTCACACAAGACGTTAATACACTTGCTGCAGCTTTGTCAAAATGAAAACCTCTTACTGAACGCATACTATCTGCGAATAGAGATAATACATATAATTCTCCACTTTTTAATGAAATAACTAATCGATCTGAAGATATAAATGCAACTTGTGAACCTTCCAAACTTATTTTTACCCCTTCTTGTGGTTCTATAATTATAAGAAGTTATTAAAAAATTTAACATATATTAAATATATGAATATTTGAAAATTCATTAAATCAATCATATTTAATACAAACTTAATGGAAAATTTGTACTTGTTTCTGCTAAACTATTTAGGGATACTCCATATGGTGGTATACTTTGATTTAAATAAATAAGAGAATTAACTGCCATAATTAAAGTACCACCAAGTGGTTTTTTCACTGGTACTGCTTGATAACAATCAAATGGTAAATTTGATACAGACCAAATTATAGGATGTACTCTTTGTTGAATATTTAATGATATTGCAACCATAGCACAAGTATCTTGTCTAACTGCAATGCGGCTAAAATTTTATATCATATTTACTATTTTATAAGAAATCAATAAAAATTAAATCAAATAAATTTGATTAAATATATTTAAAAACTTACCCAGAAAATGTTCTTACTGGTTCATATAATATTAACAATGTTGGTTCATAATAACCATGTAAAAATTGCAAATCTATTATATTATCCATTTTTTCTTCTAAACATTTTAATACAATCATATATGATGATAATATAGGAGTTTTATTAGATGATGCTTTTGAATTATCTAACAAATCTCCATCATCAAGACTTGGATCCTTTTTAAAAGGTAATACAACTAATTTTCTACCATATATTAACATTACTGCACATCTACCTTCAGGATCTACTCTAACTATAGGAATATGATGATGATTTGTCCATCCATCCTAAAAATAATAAAAATTATATAATATTTTAGATCATTTTTAATTTTTATTTTATTATTAATTAATATTTTGTTTTTGTTAATTTAGAAGATATATATTTAAAATTTTTATCAATATTTTAAAATTAATTACTCGTATTTCTTCTTCTTCAAAATAATGTAAAGATACTGTTCTAAGATCATGTGTATCTTGATCATATTCTACAACAGATAATTTTGCATCACGAAAACTTAATAAAAGAGAATCTCTTTGTGATCCAACAAGAGTTACAGCTTGCATTGACATGACATTTCCATGTAAAGTATATTGAGATAAACATTCTAATTTCATTTTCGGTGGACGTGATTCTAAAAAAAATGAGATATTGATTTTTTTTAACTTTTTCTCTTTTTATGCTATTAATAATTAATAGAAAGTACCTGTATATTTCTCTTTTTTTGTTATATCCACGTCTGGAATTAAACGAAATACTCTGATAATATTTGCGCCAGCTACTACAAGACATTTTTCTGAACGATTAAAAAAATAACATGTTATTGCATGTTCTACACCTGTAGCTGGATGAGTACTTTTACAAATTGAATACATTTTGTATTTACAATATTACAAAATCATTTTATATTCTGTAAGGATTAAGCTATACACAATACACTGCTTGCTATATTGTCATATGAAGTAAGATGTTATTTAAAATTCTTTACAACATTAAAATAAAAAATACACTAGTTTCGACTTTTAAGTTTTAAACCAAATGTATTATGTAAATTATTTTTAAATATATAATTGAAATTTCGATTTAATACAGATCTAATACAGATCGTTCATCTTTTCGAATTAATCAAAATAAATAAATCAAATAACATAATAAATGTAATTTCAGTAATTATCAAAATGTCTGAAGATGTATGAAGATCGATTTATATTATTATACAAATTTTCTTGATATTTATGAACATCATCTTTTCATAAAAATGAGTTGTATTTATAAATTTTTATTTCAGAAGTAATTTATTTTATTATTTTATTATTAATATTTATATTTGAAATAATTCTAAAATAAGTTAATATGCGAAAAAATAATTCATATTTCATATTTTGAAATTTTGATCATATGATTTTGATCTAATTTTTCTAAATTTTGGTCATATGATTTTGTTTACATCTAGTAATTGATCTCAGTGAATAATATGTATAATTGTGAATGCGATTACTTATTGTAACCAATAAAATTAAAGGAAAATAAAATGTATTTGTATATCTTCTATATCTTGTATAGATTATGATATAATACATGTGTTTTGTGCTAAGTGCCGCGCTTACTTACGTTTAATTGAAGAGAAAACAAAGAGAATGTGGATGTTAATTTTATAATTATTGTATATAGTTATAGATATTCGCAATATAATATTTATATAAAGTATAATATTATTCATGTGATTTGTTAAAGTAATTTATACTTTTTTCTGTATATAAAGGTTAAATATAAAAAAAATAAAATATTTTATATTGATTATAATAAATTGAAAAATTTTTAAATATTATTTGATGCTATATATAATTCCTTATTAAATATAAAAAATAATGTCAAATACAATAAGTGGAAAAAATTTGTTAAGACCTACTGGATTGCAATGTAAAAATCTTCAAGAATATTTAAAATCACGTCCATCAGAAGTATTAAATAAATTATATCATAATCCTCCAATTTGTTTGGCTGTTTTTCGTGAATTGCCAGTAATAGCAAAACATTATGTTATGAGATTATTATTTGTTGAACAACCTGTTCCTCAAGCAGTCATTGCTTCTTGGTGTTCCAAGCTTCATTTTGAAGAACATCAAAAAGTAGTTCTAATACTTAATGAACTAAATGTGTGGAATGAAGCATCAATACCAGGTGGACTTCCTGGATGGATTCTAAATACAACATTCAAGAAAAACTTAAAAATTGTTCTTTTGGGTGGTGGAAAACCATGGACAATGTCAAACCAATTAGAAACTGATAGCAAACCTAGAGATGTTGCATTTTTAGATTCATATGCACTAGAAAGGTGGGAATGTGTATTACATTATATGGTTGGTTCACAGCAACAAGAAGGTAATTTGATTGAAATTAATAACGATGAACATATTTAACATAAGAAAAAATATAGTTTTTTTTAAATTTTATGAAATAATATTATTTTATGTTTTATCTGATATTATATTAGGTATATCTGCTGATGCTGTTAGAATTCTTTTACATGCTGGATTAATGAAGCGAGATGAAGCTGATGGAAGCCCAGTTATTACACAAGCAGGTTTTCAATTTTTATTATTGGAAACTGCATCACAGGTATTTAAAGATAATTATTAAATTTAATGCAATTAATAAAATGATTTTAAGTAATAGAAATATAATTTCATAAATATAAATTTTGTGATATGTTTATTGTTTTAAATGTGTTTTAGGTGTGGTATTTTATTTTACAATATTTAGATACAATAGAAGCAAGAGGACTTGATTTGGTTGAATGTCTTACTTTTTTATTCCAATTAAATTTTTCAACACTTGGTAAAGATTATAGTACTGAAGGAATGTCTGAAGGTTTATTAACATTTTTGCAACATTTAAGAGAATTTGGTCTTGTTTATCAACGGAAACGAAAAGCAGGAAGGTAAATTATATTTTTTTATTAAAATTAATTTTTATTTAAAATAAATAATGTAAATAAAGTCATATTAAATAATGAATATCCTTAGATTTTATCCTACAAGATTAGCACTAAATATTGCAACTGGACAAAACAAACCATTATCTAGAGATCCAGAGAAAGAAGGTTATATTGTTGTTGAAACAAATTACAGAGTATATGCTTATACAAATTCAAATTTACAAGTTGCTTTACTTGGTTTATTTTGTGAAATGTTATACAGGTATATTTAAAAAAATTAAATATTTTACATTGAATGATATTTTGTATAAAATATAATAGTTATAATTAATAAAAATATAATTAAAATATTTTGTTTATAGATTTCCAAATTTAGTTGTATCAATATTAACAAGAGATTCTGTACGCCAAGCCTTAAAAAGTGGAATTACTGCTACACAAATTGTTGGGTATATAAAAAAATTATATTTATATATAAATATATATAAAATATACTAAGATATGCTAAAATTATAATAAAATATAGTATATTAAGATATTAAAAAAAACACTTAATTTGAATTTTGCTATATTAATAGTTATTTACAGCAACATGCTCACAGTAAAATGATAGAAGCAGGTCCACCAATTTTACCTCCTACTATAGTAGATCAAATTAAACTGTGGGAAAATGAAAGGAATAGATTTATATTTAGTGAAGGAGTTTTATACAGTCAATTTCTTTCTCAAACTGATTTTGAAGTACTTAGAGATCATGCTCTCTCTACTGGAGTATTAATTTGGCAAAGTGAAAGGTCTATTTTTAGATAATATTTTTATATTTATCTTAGAATTAAATAAACAAATACTTATAACATAAAATTTTATGTTTTTATAGAAAACGAACAATGGTAGTTACAAAAGCAGGACATGATGATGTAAAAAAATTTTGGAAACGATATTCTAAAGGTTCCAGTTAATATAGTAAGAATAACATTAGAAAGCAATTACATTTGTTCATAAATAACAAATTTATAGTAAAATTTCATCTTGAATTATAATGTATTTTTCTAATTTTAATACTTGTAAGATAAATGATTTATTAAATATTATACATCAAAAAGTATAAAATAAAATATAAATTTGAATATCATAAATTAAAAAATAAATTAAAACTGTAAGTATAATTAATAATTTAAGATAAATAATAAATATGGATAATTTTTATTGATCTGTATAAATTTTCTTTATCAAAATTTCAGATTGAATTAATGAGAAAATCATTAATTATTAACTAATAATATCTCAAAAACAAATCAAGCAAACAAATATGTATTGTGATACTTTAGAAAAAAAATTTTTATTTTTATTATATAACTACAGATTGTCAATAATGTTTGTAATTTTAGAATTTATTTTTCATTTAATAAAATTAATTTTTTAAATTATACAAAATATACACGATATTCCATTATTTTTATTTTATTTTTTATTTAGAATAATTTTGTTTAAAAAAATAATTATGGTAAAAATATAATACAAATATAAAAATTAATATTTCATAAATTAAACCAGTTCATTCGTCATTTAAACATAATTAACAAAAGTAATGTTTACTTTTATTAGTCAGTCCCAAATATTAGATGATAAAAGAATTTGTTGTCAGTGCTGTGGTGGTGATGGTGTAGGCTTTGGCATTTTGGATAATAAACCTTGAATTTCTTTTTTTTCATCATATGTTTTCCATAGTTCATATAAATTAATGATATATCGTGCGATTTCTTGAATTTTTTCCATATCAGCATTTAATTCAGCAAACCATGCTTTTAAATCTTTTTGTAATATAACACAAGCTATTTGCAAACATCCTGAAAATATTTTTACATTTTTAACAATTTTAATTATATTTTACTTAATATATATGTTAAGTAAAGTATTTCTTATTTTTTCTTACCAATAGCTATTTGATGTGGTGGATATAATAAACATACATCTGTACGTAAACTATCATTAATTATACGCCATGCCAATGTAAGTAATTGTTCATCTGGACCTATATCTTGAATAAGAATTAATAAAGGCCGATATGGTTGATATACTATTAAACAACAATCTAAATGTTCCAACAGATAAAATTCACATTCAGAAATATGACTTCCACGATAAGGAAATTCTTGTGAATAGGCATAATTAAATTTATTTTTTACTGAAATAATAATTAACATTTTAATAATTTTTTAACTCTAATTTTTCTTTTTTAATATAACTTATTTCATTTTATTATTTGACTATCTTATTTTATTTATTATATGTGATAAATAATATAATAAATAAATATATATAATTACATACCTACAGTTTGACATGCTGCAATTAATCTATTATGAGAAATAACTCCAAATTCTTCTACTTTTGAAGCTAAGAAAACGGATGTAGGTGCTAATAATAATGGATCTATACATTTTAAACTATTACGAGCATAAAATCTTTTAAAATAAACAGTTGCAGTAGCTATAACTTGTTGTCTGAGTTTTAATTGTTCACCCAATACTTGTATTACTGAAAAAATATAGAAAATTTTTATTCAAATCGTTTGAAAACAAATATAAATATATGAATTTGTATAAGTGATACAAATACAGTTACATTGGAGGTATAATAATTCCCTAATCTTCGCAATATTAAGTCACATTGACAATACTTTCGATTAATTGATTAATCGAACGTTTAGCTTACAATTGGAGAAAAAGATGAATAATTTTTGATATTCTTCTTCTGTAAAAATTGAAAGATCATGTTGTCGTTCTCGCACTAAGTCTTGTTTATCAAGAAGCCATTGTTGACTAAAAGAGATATTTATTTATTTTATAAAGTAAGAATGAAAAAGAAAAGTTTATTAGAATATTCAATATCTTACTGATGTGAACTTTGCCAAAAATTACCAGCCATATTACTATCAAATTATTATCACAAAAATAAGCAAGTCTTATATCACCCTACACGTCTGATTATCGTCCGATGAATATTTGATTATCTCCAGATTCTATAATAATCCAGCATATAATAATTTGGCATTTATTCATTTGATTTTTATTTTAGTCACTGCTTATTTATAAAATGTAATACAAATCTTATAAACGTCAACATTTTCGCGGTCACTAGCATTATTTAAATTTATATCTCTTAAAAACTTTGTATGAACTTTTATGTTCGAAAATTTACTAATTTCAATAAATTTGAAGATGACTGTACTATTTGATGTTAAATTTCTTTATTTTAGTGTCTTCAAATTTCCCTATATTTTCTGCAATATTATTTGTTGAAAATTAGCCTTTAATGAGTTAGATCTTACAATAGTAACTTTTTGGTGACCGGAAATACTTAAAAAGACGTTTTTCCGAACATAATATAACGCGGTACAAATAAAAGTTTTAATATTTTAGATATAACATGTTTTTATAAAACTTTATCGACATATTTTTTATAATAAAATATATTAAGTATATAAGTAATATATAAGTAAATAAGTATACATATATATAAAATAGTTGAAGAAAAATTGATTTATATTATGTTTGTTTCTGCGTGGGAATATAAAAATAGTAAAATGTACGTATATTTTCTATTGTCAATGAGAATCATCAATCATTAATTATAATAAATAATAAATTTTATAGAAATAAATTAAGAAATTGTATTAAAACAAAATTATAAAAATAATTTTAATATTATTATAACATAATTTAATTTTTT